GTGGCTGTGTTGCTGTAGTATACTGTTTTAAAGTCCTTTGGGTATAGACAGAGGAGAGGTATAGCTGGGTCAAATGGTGGTTCCATTCCCAGATTTCCAAGGAATCTCCATACTGCTTTCCATATTGGCTGYATCAATTTGCAGTGGTATGTGAGTGTACTTTTTTCCCCACATCCTCACCAACACTTATTGTTGCTTATATTCATAACAGGTGCCATTCTGACTGGAGTGAGATGAAATCTTAGTTTTGATTTGCATTTCTCTAATTGCTAGCGATGATGAATATTTTTTCATATTTTGTTGACTGATTGTATATCATCTTCTGTGAAGTGTGTGTTCAGTTCTTTGGCCCATTTATTGACTGGGTTACTTGTGTATTTGGTGCTTAGCTTTTTGAGTTCTTTATATACCCTAGAGATTAGTGCTCTATCTGATGTGTGAGGGGTAAAGATTTGATCCCAAGATGTAAGCTCTCTATTCCCTTCAAATTCTTTCTCTTGCTGAGAAGAAACTTTTTACTTTGAGTCCATCCCATTTATTGATTCTTAATTTTAATTCTAGCACCTAAGGAGTCCTAATTAGGAAGTTGAGGCCTAATCTCACACGATGGAGATCAGGGCACACTTTTTCTTCTATTTCATATAGAGTCTCTGGTTTTATTCCTAAAGTCCTTGATCCATTTTGAGTTGAGTTTTGTGCAGGATGAGAGACAGGGTTTTCCAGTGTTTCCAGCACCATTTGTTGAAGAGGCTATCTTTTTTCCAATGCATGTTTTTGGCAGCTTTGACTAATATAAGAGGATTGTAATTTTGTGGGTTTATCTCTATGTCCTCTATTTTGTACCATTGGTCTACCAGTCTATTTTGGTGCCAAAAGCATGCTGTTTTTGTTACTATTGCTCTATAGTATAGTTTAAGGTCTGGTATAGTAATGCCATCTGCTTCACTCTTACTGCTAAGGATTGCTTTAGCTATTCTGATGAATTTCCAGATGAATTTCATGACTGCTTTTTCTATTTGTATGAGTAATGTCATTGGGATTTTGATCAGAATTGCATTAAATCTGTATAGTGCTTTTGGTAGTACAGTCATTTTGATAATACCCTAGATTCCCTTCAATAGATAAATCAATTAAAAAATGAGGCATATATACAMAATGGAATATTACTCAGCAATAAAAGAGAATAATATCAAAGCATTTGTAGGTAAATGGATGAAGTTAGAGAAGATAATGCTAAGTGAAGTTAGCCAACCCCAAAAAGCCAAATGCCAAATGTTTTCTCTGATGTAAGGAGGATGATTCATAGCGGAATAGGGAGGGAGCATGGGAAGAATAGACAAACTCTATATATAGAGCAGGAGCTGGGAGGGTAAGGGAGGGGGCATGGGGTTAGAAATGATGGTGGAATGTAATGGACATTATTTTCCAAAGTACATGTATGAAGGCACGAATTAGAGTGAAGATATTTTGTATACAACCAGAGATATGAAAAATTGTGCTCTATATGTATAAGAAATGTAATGCATTCTGCTGTCACATATAAATATAAAAGTRAATAAAATGAAATAAATTGTGAAGTTAAAAAAAGAAAAAAATCATGTTTGGCTTATATCCATAAACAAAAATTATTTAATCCTTGACGCAAAAATTCTCAATAAAATTCTGGCGAACCGGATTCAAATACATATCAAAAAAATTATACACCATGATCAAGTAGGATTCATCCATGGGATGCAAGGCTGGTTCAATATACGGAAATCAATAAATGTTATCCACCACATCAATAGACTAAA